CCGTTTTAAAATTAGAAACAATAAAATTAAGTACAAGAATTAAATACCCCCGCCGCAGCCAACCTGCCGACTAAGCGAATTTCCATTTGTCTGAATTGATTTTCAATTAAATATATTTAAATAACATTATGTTTAACGAGTACCTAGTTTTGCTGCTACAAGGAAACTAATAAATTGTGTTTTTTAGAACAAAATGCTTTGATATACTAAATTACAAATGTGACAGTGTATTTGTTTTCTAAGCTCTTTAAAAAGGTCCAAAGAGAAATTGGAAAATTTTCTGTTTTTTGAAGGCAAAAAATGAAAAAAAAAACCATTTTTTTTACCTCATAAAAGCCCCCGTAAAACCCCATTCCCATGGTCCGATCATTCTGGTTCGCGAACTCATTAAATTTTATCCCGCTTTACACCTTTAAACCAAATTTCATCAAAATCGGACAAAAATTACTCAACTTATTCCGTTTACGGACGTATATATATACATATATAAAAATTTGAACGCATGGTGTTTTTGGCCTCTGGGGATATCAAAATGAATAAGTAAATCGGTCCCGAGTCTAGGTCTTACCGTGCCACCTACGGTAATAGCTACTTACCCATAGGGAAATTCGTTAAAACAATGGAGTGTACAATGCAATATTGTTTAAATTTTATATCCAAATTCATAAATATCATATACATCAAAAATGTAATACAGGCTTAAAACAAACAGATTAACCCAGTGACAAAGTAGTGTTGCCATATTTTAATAGATAAAGACACTCTCGCCAATCCAGTGAATACATTAAAATGATTCGGATCTTGATACGTACTCTAGTTTTTTCAGGAAAATGCCACGTAAAATGGCTCTTGGGCCGTGACAGACGGAAGACAGACAGACAGAAATTGAGATGAGACTTGATTCGGCTTCTTTAATGTATAAAACGAAAAATAACCCAAAAATTTATGAATCTGAGCAATGTACAGACAAAACTCTAATTTTATAAAAAAAATTGTATTAAAATTTTCAGCAGTGTCCGACAGGGACCGATTTACTTTTTCATTTTGATGTCCCCAGAGGCCAAAAACATCATTCGTTCAAATTTTTATATATACAGGGTGATTATTACTCAGTGTGACAAATTGTTTTTGGTGTAAGTACAAAGTAAATTCAGTGTGATGATGCATATAAAAGGTTCCAAGTCTAAAAATTAGCTTCCCAAAAAATTATTTTATGTTTTAAAAAAACAACCATGTTTTCACACTTAATTCAGCTATTTCTCAATTACCTGTGAATGGATTTGAGTAGATAATGTCATTTTCGTGTTCTACATAAAAGTTTGAATAAGAATAATAGAAAATGACGGGGGATCAGTTGTAAAAACTCCATTGTAAATAGATTCATAGATAACAATTAAGAGGTCTATTGCATTTGTTCACACCCTGTATACAAAAAAGTGTCCGAATATGGTAAAAACAGCTCCATTTTATAAGCTTTCCAACCATATGCTGCACCATTGAGCTTGATGTATGCTTATGTACGCATTAGTGGTTTGAAGACTACAAAACATGGTGTCTTTAACATTTAAAACATAGAAAGACGGCAAGCAAAAGTTGTATTTATGTTTTAGCTTCAACAGCAAAAAAGTAAAAAAGTCCCCTGTTTTCTGGTATTCAAAACACTTAAACAAACAAAGAATATCTAAACCTCAATAGTGTAGCATATGGTTGGAAAGCTTATAACATGGCGCAGTTTTTAACATATTCGGACACTTTATGTATACAGGGTGTGAAAAAATGCAATAGACCAATGCTTTTTAAATTTTTATCAAACGTCTTAATTTTTATATTTGAATCTATTTACAATGGAGTTTTTACAACTGATCCTCCGTCATTATCTATTATTCTTATTCAAAATTTAATGTAGAACACGAAAATGACATTATCTGCTCAAATCCATATACAGGTAATTGAGAAATTGCTGAATTACGTTTAAAAACATAGTTATTTTTGAAAAACATAAAATAATTTTTTTGGAAGCTCATTTTTAGACTTGGAACCTTTTACATGCATCATCAAACTGAATTTACTTTGTACTTACACCAAAAAACTGTTGCCACTCTGAGTACCAATCACCCTGTATTTACAAAACATAAAAACATTATTTAATGTTTTGTCCGATTTTGATGAAATTTTCGTTTAAAGGTGTAGAGCGGGATACACTTGAATGAGTTTGCAAACCAGCATGATCGGACCATGGGAACGGGGCTTTACGGGGGGTTTTATGGGGTAAAAATGGTTTTTTTATAATTTTTGACCCTCAAAACACAAAATTTCCCAATTTCTCTTTGAACCTTTTTAAAGAGCTTAGAAAACAAATAATTTAGTATATCATAGTGTTTTGTTCGTTTATTGGTAACGGATAAAATTGAAAAAATTGTAAATTTAAAATTCCCATGTTATTCTAATGGATTATACTGTAAAATGGTGTAGTTTGTTTGATTATGTATATATTTTGATCAAACTTGGCAAATTTATTTATTTTATACTAAGCTATCAATGTTTTACTAAAAAACACAATTTATTAGTTTCCTTGTAGCAGCAAACCTAGGTACTCGTTAAACATAATTTAAATATATTTAATTGAAAATCAATTCAGACAAATGGAAATTCGCTTAGTCGGCAGGTTGGCTGCGGCGGGGGTATTTAATTCTTGTACTTAATTTTATTGTCTCTAATCTTAAAACGGAAGTGAAAGTTTAATAGCCCTAAATAGCGCTATTTCTTTTCGGACCCCATATAAATTGCATTGTTGTCATAACGACTCACTGTGTACCACTACATTGTTGTGGCAAATTTCAAGCAGTGTTTTTGTATTAAAATATAAGTTATATATACTGTTAGAAAGGCAATATTCTGACAAAAAAGTGTATGTAAGACGTTTTCAGCTACGTGTAACGGTATCCATGACACTTAGCAAAACGACTTCAAAAAATCTAAATAAAAAACAAAATATTTAATAAAACTATAAATATTCGTAGTATTATGAATCTAAACAATTAAGTAAAATACACCATCGGAAAGGTAATTTTTTCGTGATTAATAATCACTAAAAATGTAGGGCACTTTTAAAATATGAACCCGAGTTTTATAGGGAAATGTAGAATCGTGTCACACAACTTTGGCGGCCATTTTGATTACGTCATGAACACACATAGAGTGCCCGAAAAATTTGTGTCCCGGGCTTTTTGGACTCGTCTACGCATGTACTATCTGAATCCAAAGGGGCGCGTTGGTTGCCAGATGTGAAATATTTTGGTGTAATTTGTTGCTAACCCACCCCACTATATACCCGGGGTCAAGATGCAAAAGAGGCAATTTTGGTTTGTTGAAAATGCCGTAAAATGGTTGTTTTGTCCTCCATTTAGTTTGGAAACAAAATTCAACTGTACCACTTAACTTGATTAAAGTCCATTTTTGTTAACTCAGGCTGTGAAAACTTATTCAGGCTACCTAGGACGGTGTAAGAGTGGTGCCGATTTACTCGTACCATTATCAAAATAAGGGGGTTTTCCCAGAAAGTAAATTTGTGTTACGGTTTATAAAAAGTCATAAGTAAAAAAAATATAGCATATACAAATTAATAGCATTTTTGGTTGTTTTATTTACATGCGAGAGAATTTGAACACATTTCATGAATCACCCAATGTACCATCAGAGACGCCACGGAACGGACGGACGTCACCTGGTGACCCTGACAAAGACCACTTCCCAAGTTTTTAATTTCCCTCAACCTGTCGAGCATATAACTTGTTTATCACAACACTTAATTATTAGGGACATTTCGTAATATCATTTAATACTAAATAGAAGATCAGGAAACCTAAGTAACTAATTTGAAAAAAAAACAATGATCAGCTATTCATGTAGTATTTAGAGACTACATTGGGGATATTTCACTTTTCACCTGAGTTGTCTAACAACAAGGATGTTGTGCTCTGCTCAACACCCGGATCTTCTTGTATTTAAATCAAATCAGTGAATTTCCACTCTCCATTGCTACATATCTGCGGAGGAACAAAAATTAAATGTTATGCCATAATAGGTCCAATGATTTTATTTTGCAAAATTTGTGAGTATTATAACTATATCTCAATTAATAAGGTATAGTAAAAAATATATATATTTAGTTGTAACATTGTTTTTAAATTTAATATAATGTTGGTGTAGCTTGATTTGTGGTGAACCATCTTACTACTATTTATTCCTTGGTGGAACATATTGAAACAGTGTCTGGGGACCTTTTTTAAGTTTTAAATTATTACCTTGTATTGAGAAGATAACTAGGAATAAGAAAAAGGTGCTGTTTAAGTGTGCAATTTTTATGGTCTGCCATTAGCACAATGGTTTACATTTAACATGAAAGAAGTGAATGAGAGAAGTGGAGGAAAATAAGTGAAAAAACGATTCTGCTAAGTTTAAGTTCTAGTCTAGTAGATGATTTTTTGTTAAATAAAGAACTGAGTGTATACATAATATTATAAATATTAAAAAAAAATAATAGGCCTAATCTATTATTATCATTTGTAAACAGTTAGTAGCCTAAAGGTTTAATGACAAAGTGATGGTATCCATTCAGTGCAGTTGTGAAATGATTACAATGGGCTTGCAATGCTATCAATTGGCTCATAGCCAGTGATGATGCACTCTGCTTGCAAAAGTCACATTCAATTTGATCTGCTTCATGACTCAAAGGAAAAACTAGCTCTTAATATTCAGTAAAATACCTCCAAGAAAACGAGCAGTACTGTACAAACTTAAGAACAAACAACCATGGTTTAACAGCTATGCTGCAAAAGCTTCACAAACTCTAAACAACGATGGGGCTTTTAAGGCAACTGTGACTACTTTACATGCTTGAAGAGGTAGGTTTAATGTTCACGATTACTTCAGGGATTTCCTCACTGCGTAATGGACAAGAGTGATTAGATTTTATAAAAAAACCGGTTGACCTTGAGACGTGAGACGTGTAGTGTGAGTGAGGCAGTCAAGCATTGCTCAGTGCTCGCTGTTTAGTGATCCTGTGTGTCAGCTACAGGATGGTTACACTCAGCAACTATGTGGCTGTGTTCCTCGCTCTCTGTCTTATACAGGTCAGGTATATCCTAGTCTTATGTTCTGTTTGTATTGTAATTTGATGGTTGTTGAAGTTTGTATTTTAGCAATACACTATGCAAATGCTGGTACAATTCTAATTATGGTTTTAATTATCTTGTATCTTTTACAAAATAAATAGTCCCTCTATAATACAGGTTCTTGTATTATCATAAGCAATATTATTGTTTTGAAAATCAGTTTCTTTTAGTAAAAAAAATGTAGTATGATATTTGTGGCTCAATCCTGTTCAGGGACTATCCCTTTTACACTGTTCTCATTTAAGAGACAGAGTAATACCTGTAAACAAGTATAAACCAAGTTCAATACCGGTACCTAGTCAATTTTAATTCTGATTAAACTCCAGTCATCTTCACCCCCAATGAGAAAATAGTAAACATATACAATGACAGCCTTACTTTAACACTACTGATTGATGATCAATTAATTGTTTCGGTACAGTAATTAAGTTTCTAATACTACCACTACCACTGGTGTAGAAGTTAACTAGGTAGGTACTCACTTATTGTTTGTTAGCTTGATTTTACAGTTTTTTTTTCAAACATTAGGCCTACTTAGTAGGCTACTATATCTCCTCCATGAAAACAAATCAACACGGGTTTCAAAAATCAGTTTACCGAGTAAGTGTATTTGTTTGAAGCAAATAATAAATAAATCTTATTTATATTATAATTTTATTAAAACCTAATTTAACTACACATAAGTTGTAAAATTAAAATAATTGTTCAATGCATTTTTACAGCGTTTTCTTGCACTAGTAACAATTTTTTTGAATAGATTTTTATTGTTGTTTTAAGGCCTCAAATTCTCTTGCGATGGCTGCTTTCAATTGCAGAACATAAAAGCGTTTGGCATTTTTTATGATCCCAAAACATAAAAGTCGTAAGATCGCAGGGCCTTGGGGGCCAATCAATTTGCAAGATAATTTCAAGGCTTAATTAGCAACAATAAAAATCTATGCAAAAAGATTGTTACAAGGGTACAAAAAAATTATGTGAAAATAGTAGTTTACGCAAACGCAACGATTGCGTAAAGATGGTGTTAACGACACGAGTAGAAAATTTAAGGTACGAGCCTTGGCGAGTGCCTTAAAAACTTCTACGAGTATCGTTAACACTATTTACGCGAGTTGCGTACACTACCGTACTTTACCTACGACGACGGTGTTTTTTAATTACTAAAAATCACTACTCATAACTTCTAAGAGAGGTTATGTTTTTGTTTATAACCTCTAATTGCCACTGACCTCTAAATGCAATGAAACATTGTATCAAAATACTAATTGCACCAATCAACAATTAAATTGACCTGAACAGTTGATTAGTTGAATTTCGAATCATAAAAATTTTGCTTCTCCTCTCTCAATCCTTGAACCTCATTGGTCCGTTACCCATGTTGTTATGAGTAAAACTATGCTGTTATGAAAGTAAACAATGCTGTTATGAGATATTTTTCAATTCTAAGAACTGTACTGAAACGGCTACTTTAAAAAACGGTCGTTGGTAAATGCATTTAAGATAAGGCATTTTGAACAATTCTTTTAAGTTTATAACCTATGTGAAGTGTAAATTCAGTTTAAATAAAATTAGTATGAACAAAATTGATTTATTATTTGTGTAATTAACAAATACACATACTTGGTAAACCGATTTTTGAAACACCCGGTATAGTACTGTAGGAGTGACTTATTAAAATGAATTTAACACCTGTGACAACATATATAGCATCCTCCAATAGAAGACCGCAAAAAGTGGCAACACCACAGTCCCACCTACTGTAACAGCTGTTATACTAGTTTATCATGAAGAGTCATGGTGGGCACAATGTGTATGTTTAAACGTTTCTTATTACCATGGGAATATGCGGGCCAGTGCATTACCTCACACCAACGCCACGGTCTTGTACGTATTAGAGGAGGCTTTGATGGTACCTAACGTGCGTAACCAGTCAATGTATGTAACTGGGCTTATTGATGGACAGTGTTGTTTTTTGGGGCATTCAGGACTGCTTTTGTAAATGGGCCCGGTGGGCTCAGTTCGAGCAAGAGGTTTGTTGGGGGCGCAGGGATGAGTTTACCCACAATGTAAGTGGAGAGGGGCGCAATTACATGCAAACCGCGGGCCTGGGGGCATTGTCAGGTATGATCAGTGGTCTAAAGTGCTGTTCTCTGCTGGTCAGGAGACTGTTATGTAGATTGAGTAAATAAAGTAAATAAATCTTTATTATTAACGATGTTTGTATGTAGCTGTTGTGACTCTTGATAACGTTTGAATCCCCTTAAGCTTAAAGTAAATTTCTAATAACCTCCATTTTAACCAACTTCCTTGACCCTTGGCTTGTTCTTCTCCTAATATCCTCTAAACAAATATTTATCCTTAGTTTGTAAGCTGTTTTGACCAGATCTAGAATACAAACTTTGCATCATTAGAAGATTAAAAAATTATATAATATATTAACTTGAACAATAAAAAGTAAAATTTGAATTAAAAATAAATACAAACTTAATCATTCTTTATTTTTTGCTCTCGCATGTAAATTTTCAGGCTGTATCCAGACTGTATCCCAACCAGCTTTAGTAAAATACCAATGTCATGTATCTATGCAAATTTTATTCATAAACTATCAAATGAGCTTGTTGTGGTTAAATACAACGGTCTCTAGGAAAATAGTACACAATATAATATGCTTGCTTCCAAAAATGCAAATTGTTATCAACAAAATGTAAACAAAGAAAAATGAAGGAAATAACAATACAAAAATTAGCTGTTCAATTAATAACATATAACACATGTTCCATATGATCAGATGAATCATAATTATTTGCAAATCTATACACACATTAAGCTTTCCAACAACTCACCAATTTATTAGCATAGATAAAATCCAGTAGAACTGTAAATTTAGTTGTAATGTACAAAGCTTAACAAAAATAACAATTATAATTGGTGAAATATATCTCAAATTGAAGTAAAAATTCTAAAATATATCAAATTTATGGTTTTTAGCTGAGTAACAGGGCTTACAGTATATAAATATATGCCGATGCCTATGTGAAATCTGTGCGGCATACCTTCAATTTGAAAGCTCAATCATGAAATCGGTCTGTTAGAAGAGCCAACGAACTCTGAGAAGAAAAACACATGTTTTTAAATATACAAAGATTACCATAAAAACCGTAATTAACTGATATGACAAAACAATAAAAATTGCCCTCAACACTTTTTCAGTAATAATAGGTTTCTAAATTCCTTTTAATTAAACTGTTTTTTACAATCACCAATCTCCTGAAATTGTCAAATAAAGGTTCATAAACTTGAATAACACAGTAATCACACTCAACTGGCTAAATAAAAATACCCCCGCCGCAGCATACCTGCCGACTAAGCGAATTTCCATTTGTCTGAATTCATTTTCAACTAAACCTTTTTAAATAACATTAGGTTTAATGAGTACCTAGGTTTGCTGCAACAAGGAAACTAATAAATTGTATTTTTTTGTAAAATATTAATAGCTTAGTATAAAATAAATAAATTTGCCAAATTTGATCAAACTATATCCATAAACAAGCAAACTACAACATTTTACAATATTCTCCATAATAGTATGGGAATTTTACATTTACAATTTTTTGAATTTTCTCTGTTACCAATAACTGTACAAAAACACTTTGATATACCAAATTATTTGTTTTTTTAAGCTCTTTAAAAAGGTCTAGAGAGAAATAAAGAAATTTTGTGTTTTGAGGGTCAAAAATGAGAAAAACCATTTTTTACCCAATAAAACCCCCCGTAAAACCCCGTTCCCATGGTACGATCATGCTGGTTCGCGAACTCATTCAAGTTTATCCCGCCTTACACCTTTAAACCAAATTTCACCAAAATCAGACAAAAATTACTCAAGTTATCGCGTTCACGGACGTATATATATATATATATATATATATATATCTATATATCTTACTAATATTATAAATGTGAAAGTTTGTGTGTTTGTTTGTTTGTTTGTTTGTTTGAAGTTCGATCACGCTTTGACTACTGGACGGATTGGGCTGAAATTTGGCATGATGATAGCTCACACTCCCGATAAACATATAGGCATATTTCTATCTCAAAAATCTTTTCGGGCTCCGCCCCAGTGGCTCTGCAGTTCCCCATGTTAACCTTATGAGTATTCATATTAAAAGGGAATTAAAGAATTTAGTCAGCTGTTTCAACTAAAAAGTTGGTTCTATGATATACAAAAGCTAAAAAGTTATAAGATTTACCAACAGGGTGCGCATCACTGTTATTTTTTGCATTTATGAAAACAGCTAATTTCAACTATGATACGCAATGAGAACTGTCAAAGTATGATTGTTTATAGTTATGTTTATGTTTTTAAATTTATAAATAATCTGTGATATTTTGAGAATTTTCAATAATTTATTTTTCTCTATTGTTTAGGTTAAGTGGTAGAACATTATGGCTATGGTAGATGTGTAATACTATAGTATACCGTAAATTTAAAGAAGCAAATTTTATTAAACTGTGTCATCCCCCATTGCAAACGCAAAGCTTGAGAAAATCTGCAATAAGCATAATATACTTATACATATGCCAACCCCGTACGAAGGACGGGTACTCTGCTAGTATATATATACATATATAAAAATTTGAACGAATGGTGTTTTTGGCCTTTTGGGACATCAAAATGAAAAAGTAAATCGGTCCCGGGCCTAGGTCTTACCATGCCACCTACGGTAATAGCTACTTCCCTATAGGAAATACGCTAAAATCATGTATAAAAAATCCATAGTGTAATGTCCTTTAGTACATGACGGGGCAAACAATGTTAATTAAATCTGAGCTTAGTAAAAGTTAATTAACTCATAACTTGTAAATTAAAATGATTATTTCTCGTGAACTTGTTCATCCATCAGAAATGTTTAGTTGTGTCTGAAACAGTTGCGTAACAGTTCTGAGAATGGAATCTCACAACTTGAACTCTACAAGTAAATTGCTAAGCTAATCATGACTGTGCGAATCTTTCCTTACGAAATAATCTTAAGACAAAGCGGAACTCATCTTGAAACAACACCGGTCCCCGTCACTGTTTTAATGACACCAATTTCCGTATAATGAAGGTGTCCTGTATCTAATTATTGAGCCGAGAGCAGGTGGATTTGCTGCTTCAACATTGTAACAAAACACTTTTCTTCAATCCCTCATTTGTTTTCCTTGTAAGACAGGCATTACTTATTCGAGTTGAAGTAAAGCTTATACCTCGAATTCATGAATGTAGAATTATCTTAAGGTCTTTAATTTTCTGTTTCTTAAGAACTTAGCGAGAGTTATGTTTCAAGACGTTTGCGAATTAGTAAATTATAATTCTAAAGTCAACTGAACAACTGTTCCATATTGATTAATTTAAGTTTGCAGGATCATGTTGACAACGAGTAATATAAACTTGTATTCTACGTAAAATGTGTTATTGAGTCGAACTTTAAATTTTATAAACCTAAAAATTTATTGAAAAGTAAAATGTTTTATTTGATAAAAATTTTAAAAAGTGATAAGCTCAAACATATTTCTCAATACCTATAACTACGTGTAACTAATAACGTTAAGGCATATAATAACAGTCAATCAAAACTGAACGTGACAAGGTAAATTATGTACGAGTTCTTTTGGCTCAAGCACAAGTCATAACTTTCATAGGTACGAGTAATTTTTATTGAACTGTTTAGGTATTCAAAATAATAATGCAATCTTATCTTATCTTACTATTATTATAAATGTTAATTTTATGTGTTTGTTAGTTTGACAGAAAACAGAATACAGTAATACAAACAAATCAATCACGCCTGATTTTAAGGCAATAAATTGAAAGAATAACAAACAAATAAGTACAGCTGAAGTATTTGAAACATTAGGTATATGAAAAGTTCCCTTCAGAAAGGAATTACGACCTTAAAGGGCAATTTATGAAATAATGGATAGTTTTGCGCAACGTTTCTCGTCATGATGAACATTTGAAGTACTGTATATGGTTTATGGGGGTGTGACTTTTAGTTTTCTCAAAAGTTCATGGGTACTTTGGGATTTATATATGGATACGTTTTAACAGCAAGCATTAGCTTTTGTGAAATTTACAATAAACAACAGTGGAATTAGTTGTGTTTTAGGACATCAATTAAGAAAAGACTAAAGAATTTGCAATTTAAGAAATGACTGGCTCAAATTGGGAAAGTTTAAAAATTTAATTAGTATACATAATAAAATGTGACATTCGACAGCAAGTTCTGTTACTTGGTTATGTCACCGGCAAAGTATATAATATGTTTCTACTGTATAAAATACCTAAAATGAATCAGGCAAAGTATAAAATAAAGCTCATTACATATACTTTGCCTAGTCAAAGTATAAAACACACAGTTGTAGAATTAGTTTTAGACTTTCGCTTCCTTGTTTTGTTGCATTACCAAATCTAATCCCTAATCTAACCATATACAAAATATTTAATTCTAAAATACTTTTTGAGACGTTTGATTCATTTTTAGGCATAAGCCTGTATAGTTTAAATTAAACTAACTTGAACTAAACTAAAAAGGATATTTATTTGTAAAAAAAATACTTTACAATATCGTCATATATTTTGTATTTTAAAATAATGCTGTAAAGTAAATGAAGGTTTTTTAAACAAATATATTTATTTCATGCTTAGCCTATGTAGGCATTCTATACAATATGTCGTCCCCATCTCCATGCCTAGGCATTATCCACAATTCCACAATGCCTAGTCAGTGTATACAATCTTATCGTTATATTCCTCCATTTCATACTTTACATATATAAAATCTTCAGGCAATGTATAGAATGCCTAGATTGTATACTTTGTCTGTAACAATTAGAATAATAACCAATCTTTTTTATTTAAAGAGGAAGTTATGAAAAGCTCTTTCTTGTATTGATTTTCAACAAACATCAATTTTAAAGATCTCAGCTTGGTGTTACTTAAAACAAAACTAATCAAATTTATGTTTTAAATAACTTTTTTAATATTTTGTGATTCTTATCACTTTGATTAGATTGATTTTAAAATGCATAATACAGAGCGTTTTTTTAAACACAACCTAAATTTAAAGTACTGTGTGGGACATATTTTAATGATAACATGGTGTTTCACAAGCTCAAATAGAGAATGTATTGTAAGTTTACGGCCTTAAGGGATTTTTTTACCTCGAATCAGGTTTCCATAAATTTGTATGTGTCAATAATAGTTGATTTATTAGGTACTGGAACCACTCCTGCAATCGCAATTTTAAACTTTTCTTGGTATAAAACCAATAATTTACTTTTAACGTATTCTTATAACTCTTCGAGCTTGGGGATACGCCTGTATGGGTTATATTTACAATGCAAACATGCACATCAGCTGATCGGTAATAATAAAGTAACGAAGGCAGGGATTCCAACATATAAGCTTGTTTTGTCATTAAAATATGTCTTACAGCCATGGTGGCCCTTCCACCATGTCTTACAGCAGTAGGCTACTTTTAATTTTGACTGCATTAAAAAAACACCCTGTATCATATAATTTGCTAATACCAACTTTAATACCCCATCATTGACACAAATTATAAGTTGTATGGCTGAGGCTGCAAGATAGGTTCAATACAAGTAAAAATCATAATTTTCAGTTGCACATTATTGCACAAATACCCTACGATAATAAAAGTTAATTAGCCTAATGCAATTATACAGATAATGAACCTTTCCTTTATTACAACCGTGATCCATCATTACTTGAATCTGAAAACTTACATCAAAACAATTACTTTGACCATGACCTATCAACAAATCTTTGAGGTAATATTAAGTCTTAGTGGTCACGCTTATAATTAATTATTGAATTACAGTTTCTGGGATTGAGTAAGCTACAAATTGTAAGGCCCGTTGCAGTAGGTACCAGTAATCTGCTCACTTGAGGAATTTGGTTTGAGCAAGTGAGAGTAAGATCAATCTCTCAGTTGTTGAAGTGTGCTAACCTTGGGCCTTAGCATCATGTGAGCTTAAGAAATGAAACTTTTTACTTATGAAATATTTGTTAAGATGACGAATTAACTGGAAACAATTAATGTTTAAGCTTGGTTCGGAAAAAACCACCTTAAAACCTTTGAAAATATATATGTAGCACAATCTAATGAGAAAAAATATATGACCTAGCTGTATTAATAAACCGTCCAACACAAGTTACAATTAAAAACTTGGTTTTCTATTTTACTAACTATGTTATAGACATTACCTTGTATTTAGTTGTTTTTTTTGCAAGTGAATTTGACAGAAAACCTTTACACCGAACTTAAAGCCGAAATTCAGATCGTTTTATACAAAACCAATGTCAGCCAATAAGGAAATCCATTCGATAATCAGCATTGTGAGTAGGATTGTTTGAATAGTCTGCTTAATCATACCGGTACTAATTGAACACTTTGGCATTTCTGACATTATTAAGACCATAACCCTACAGTTTATTAAAAATGTATCAATTGGGTGTATTTGTATTTGTAAAAAGATTAAGATAAGAAACAGAAAGGAATAGATGATGAACCTTTATTTTAAATGATAAACAAAGAACTGAGATGTTTACAAATATTGTAAACAAACATATGTTAATTACATTTCCATTTTAGGCACAACCCCCATTGCTGTATAAATTACGGTTCAAAAGTTATTGTAATTCATGTAATTTGCCCATGAAAAATTCATAAAATAACAAAGCGCCCTGATTTGAAAACTGCTTGACCGATTTTATTAAAAGTTTAGTATGATTTGGTCTTATATTCCTTAACAAAATGGTACAACACCCCTTGATAAAAAATACGGGTTTAAAAGGTATTGCAACTTTCATGATTTTCCCTATGAAATATCATAGCTACTCCCATTACTCACCCATTGTAAACATTGTTGACAAGCTTAAACGGAAAAGTACGTGTCAGATTGCTGAAAACGTTTATTTTGGTAGTGTTTAGAAGCTTACGCACTTAACGGTTACGCTGACGGAAACCTGTGCCGTTTTACAGCCATCCAATGGTGTGTTATACTAAAATACCGGAAATATTTACACTACCCAGTTACTTGCACAGTTAAACTGTTTAGTTATAAGTATTTAGGCCTGCGCCCTTTATCCATTTACTTTACTGGCTCCCATAAAACTTACCACATCAAGTTTGTTTCATTAGTATAGAAAAACTAAACGCTGTTTTGTAACCCCTGACTAGTTTCTGCGTAGTCTATATTTTATTTTATAAAAATAGTCATCTTACAATACTATAATGACTCTTCCTAAATTATTTGTTTTTGTTTTTTCCAGACTGTAGTCACATCTCCTCCTAGTGAGGGCAAAGAGATAGCCAATAGGCTTGGAGATGATCTGTCTTTTGCTTCAAAGCAGTTGATCCGTGGATTCACAGCCATTTTCGCTCCAATATTTGACACGTTACAAAGACCACCAGGTGGGCTTTCCAAGGCTATCCCCATCCCGGGAGGAAGCAATGCAGGGATAGACAAAGCAGCTGAGAATTTCAGGAGGGTGTTGCTGAGGGATGGTGTGAATGCCATTGGCAAGGGAGTCAAGGCCGGAGCCACCATCATCTCCACCCCTGCCAGAGTGGCTGGGACAGGGCTGGAGGAGGCGATCAAGGTCAGTGAAGCAGCTGGTATCAGTCCCAGGAAAGGAGCAAACTCCATCAAGTACAAAACATCACAAGTTCCTCCAGGAAATATACAATCCAATATTGAAGACGGAACAAAAATAGCGTCAACTCTTCTAAACACTACTGCATCTGAATTTTCCCAGGCTAATCTAGGCGCTGTTCTGGTTGAAGTAGCTTTAAAAAACCGAATCAAAGACATTGGAAATAAAACAGCAAATGCGGTTCAGTCTAGAGCAGGACCCAGGGTTGAAGCAAAAGAGATTAATAAAAGGGAAGATCCTGATAGTTCTTCAAACAAGGGAGATCAACCGCCTGCACCATCCAGAGTCGACGATCTGCTTGAAAGGTTTAATGAAGCTGTTAGACAAAATGACGAACGTGTTTTAACTGCTTTGAGAGGTATTCTTGCCCAAATTAACCCACCAAAGAATTAGTATTTATTTTAACGAAATTTTATTATTTTTTTATTCTTTTACATACTTAATTTGATACATAATTCATTTGATGATTACGTGTTGTGACTTACAAACTTCGAAGTTCCTATGCCGACTGAAATGTTATAGCTTTTTCAATATTACATTATAAAATCATCCATTACTCATTTTGATTTTCAAATAACTAATTATTAGTTTTAATCACTTATGCTGCGCGAGGTTTAGTGGTTACAACCCTTTATGATTCAGTTTTACATTAAGGTAATGGCAATAATTTCGTACTGTAAGTCTTGGTATGTATATTTAATAACAATTACAGTATATAATGTCTAACTATAATTTACTTTTTGTTAATTATCGTAGGCTGCAAAGTACAAAGTATTAGTTTGGTTGTGATTAAAATAGTATAATTTTACTCGAATGAAAAAAATCCGTTGAAGGTTACAAAGTATGTTTACAATTTTAGAATGTCATTAAATCATTGTTTAGTTTGTTATATTGTGTTTTAATAAATATCCCGAATCCTACACTGTTTAGACTATTTTCTTCTATTAGTTAGCTTTGTTGATTTGTAAAGAATATCGCAAATAAGACTAACAATGTTTGTTTCCAAATGTTAAAAATTTGTTTGGTCGTTTAAACATTAGTTGTATATCAACCCATGGTTACGGAAAGTCAAAAAAATGCTTAAAAATAAAACTTGGGCCTCTTCCATTTGGCTGTATTGTGTTTATTACAAAAGAGTACGCTAATTTTTAGACCCTACCCAAAATCAAGACTTAAATAAAGTTGGTTAGTATAAATCCATCTGAAATTATTACTTATTTTAAACCAATTCATTACCTTCTGTGTACTGTAAAAGAAGTAAGCATAATTGTTCATTAAAATTAATTTTATGTAAATATGAAATAAATCTGACAGCATTTTAGTGAAAATCCAACCAGGTAAATGGAAATTCACCTTGTCTGAAGGTTTGTTGTACGTTATTCTTTAAATTTATTACCTTATTAAAATTAGGTGTGATTATTTGTTTGTATTACTGTATTCTGTTTTGTTTATTTCAGCTTAACTTACCAATCAATGGTTTTATTAATATTTATGAAGTCAAACGGGGTGATGCCCATGGGTAACAGATAGTTTTAATTATATAAAATTAAAAAGTATTGTTTGAGTTTGTTGTTTTGTTTTTGTAGATATTTTATTGTTAATAGTTCAGTATGAAATGAATACATTTTGCAAATATAATTAAAAAATATCCACAAACAAGCAAACTAAATAACTACTGTAGATCGATTCTGGGTCTAGGTCTTACCTAGACCTACATTAATATCAATCAATCAAAATAACTTTATTCATATTGCACATTTTGTACAGAATGGAGTCAGTTATAAAAACACAATATTAAACTTAAGACTACTTACAAAGAATATTGTTATTATAAAAAAAATCTAATTTCAGGAAGTTGGAAAACATCTTCTAATTTATACAAGGGTCTGTTGGTGAGAAATAATTTCAAACGTTTTTTAAATGAATTAAAATTACTTATATTTTTTATATTGTCAGGTAAGCTATTGAAATATTTAACACCACTATAAGATGGAATTTTTTCATAAACCGATAAGTTATGTCCGTTGAACGCCAATTCATTACCTTTTCTGGTTGAATATGTATGAAAAGAGTTCAATTTTGGCAATCATTCATGGTTTGATTTAATATAAAGGGCTATTTGATAAATGTATAAGCTAAAAACAGTCATAATTCCTATTTCTTTAAACTGATCTTTTGCGGATGTTTTTGACTTTAGTTTTATTTAACATAATGCGAATTGCTTTTTTTGAAGTTCCAGAATGCTATTTAGGTTAAAATTTGATGTGCCCCCATGAAGACACAACCCAAAAGAAATATGTGATTCAATTAAGGAATGATATACTATTTTTAAGGTTTTTAAACTACTAAATTTTGACATCTGTCTTAATGCATGTATGCCTGAGTTGACTTTATTACAAACGTTTTCAACATGACTGTCCCAGTTGAATTTATCATCTATATGCAATCCAAGAAATTTTATTGTTTTAACTTCATTTAGTAAAATTGTATCCATAAAAATATTAAACTCAGGTGAATTTTTGCTCGTTGAAGAAAAATGTATATAATTAGTTTTTATTGTATTCGGTAATAAATTGATTTCATTTAAATATTGGTAACATTTGGTAAGCTCAACAAAAGAAGAGACTTCCACAGCAGCATTTGAATTTCCGGATATTTTTATATTGATGTCATCAGCAAATAAACAAACACGATTGGGAGATTCTATCAATGAGGGGAAGTCAGTTAAGTAAATTAAGAATAATAATGTCCCCAATATTGATCCTTGAGGGACACCATACTTAACAATTTTCGTTGAGGAAGTGTAAGTAATTAATTGGTTATGGCTATTTATGTGATCAATTGTGACATACTGCTGCCTGCCTGTAAGATAAGATTCAAACCAACGCCAAGCTCTCCCTTTTACACCGTTATATTTAAGTTTTTCAAGAAGTAAATCATGTGAGACACTATCAAAGGCTTTTGTTAAGTCTAAGAATATTCCCACTACTTTTTCCTTTGAATCAATTGAATTAATTATAGATTCACAGAAATCGACTCCTGCGTCAATCACGGACCTTCCTTCTCTAAAACCATATTGTTCCTTATCTATATCTATATCTATATCTTATCTATATCTATATCTTATTCTCTATGGGAAATTCACAAAAAAATGAGTTTAAATTTAACAAACCAAAGCAACCAACCAACTGCTCATCACACGTCATACCTCGTAGTGTTTGCGGTAATTAACAAACTTGGGTATTTCCGACTGACGATGGAGAGATAAGACACCGTGGTGAGTTGCCTGCCTCAAATTGGCCGTTATTCCACACCAGTTGCTAACACAAGTTTTTTTTAGATAAAAACTTTTACTAAAGTCCATTGATTGGCTTAAAAAAAAAAATAAAAAGAATTACTTTAATCAATATTCGTACGTGCATTGGGCAATAACAGTTTATTATAACACCGTTCTTAGAAACCCTGTTGACTAATAAGGGGGTTTCCAAACATTGATTAAGGTTGTATCAATTTAATACTCTCATCTATCTATATATTAATAGGCAAGCATGTTTCTTTAAAACCTTTTTTCTCAGCTCGTGTGCATCGTAGGGAAAATCTACGCATACCGTTAGAAAGCTATTTTCCTGTAGGTGTGCAGAATCTATATATATAAAAGGCAAAGACTGACTGACTGACTCACTCACTCATCACTAATTCTCCCACTTCCCACTTACCTAGGAGGCTGAAATTTAGTACACTGATTATTTAGGCATTAAATAGGAAAACTAAGTGGTTTATTCTGATCGGACTCTCGGGCTCCGCCCCAGTGGCTCTGGAGTTTCCCATGTTAACCTAATGAGAACTCATATTTAAATGGAATTAATGAATCATAACAGCTGTTTCAATTAAACAAGTTGGTTCTGTTATATGATGTTAAATAGCATTAAAGTTACAAGGATTACCAACAGAGTGCAGCACTATTATTTTTTTTTTATATTTGACAACAGCTAATTTGAAACCAAAAGGTGAGTGAGCGTAGCGAACGAACTTCAACCCGGAGGCGAGGTAGCGCAGCGAACGAGCTAAACTGAAGGCAAGTGAGCGCAGCGAACGAGCTCCAACCGTAAAGGTGAGTGAGCGTAGCGAATGAACTTCAACCAGGACGTGTGAGCGCAGCGAACGAGCTCCAACCTAAAGGTGAGTGAGCGTAGGGAATGAACTTCAACCAGGACGTGATTGATCCATGTGAACGAGCTCACATATGAAGTTAAACGGGGCAAAGCCCGCGGGTACAGCTAGTCCCTTTATAAATTTAAATAGGCTCAAAGATAAGCACAAAAAATGAGTTTAAAGATTTGAAAAAAATAACATGGATCTTATGCGTTGCCATGCTGGTGACGAAATAACAACGAAATATAAACAGGAAATCAAAACAAATGGAAGAAACTCCAATCACATGTTTTATTTACAGTGTGGGGTGAAAATAGAGAAGTGAGTACATTACATATTTTTGGTCGAGTTTCGACCACTGGACGACCTCTCGTTTTTCTAAATCAGCAGTCATTTAGTAAAATTTAATACAGTTTTGGCGCATAAAGCTATTAATGTTTCCCAAGCTATTGATCGTTTGTGGGTTTAAATGTCAGTTCATTAACTGTTTTTTGGGCAATTTAAAATGCAAAGTGCAAATAAAATGTTAGGGTTGACAACTACAGTATTAGCCTATAAGTTTTAACAACAAACTATGTTGGCAATTTGAGTAATTGATGCTTTTAAACTGGTAATTAATTTCTTGCTTGTGATTTTGGAGGATTCATAAAAAACGTGATTGTAAAAAAATAACAAAGGAGCTTCGTTTTATTAATTATTTTGCGAAATAACAAAATAGCAGATCATGGGTTATCTAGAATGGTATTTAAAATACTGGGCGTTTTTAACTTATTTTGGTAAAAGTTAAGTATATAAACTGGTTGTGCAGAACCTGCTCATGTATTTTTGTGACAGCCTGTAAACTACAAACTAAGAAAGGAAATGTTGATTTTACATTTGTGCGGTCCGAGCTGGTTTCACCCGAATCTAAATCAGAAGTTTTGCCAGTCTTTGTCTACTAGTGGCTGACCGAAGTTGGTTATCTAGCTTTTTTTGCTAAACGTATCAGTGGTGGTTCCAAGGGGAGGGGAAGATTATAAGCCCTATAAGACCCTAAACATATAAATGTAACCATCCATTTCGTTATAAAAACGTAACAAAGGTTTTTGGACATGGTTTTAGGCTTTGAAAAGTTACCAAAGGGCTTTTACATCTTTTTGCGGGGGAGGACCCCCAGACTCCCCTCCGTGTTGTGGAACTGTTAGCCTCCCTTTTGATAAGGTCCTGTAACTGCCACATATGACAGTTGTACGATATGCTGGAAAACATTTTCATGGAACTTGATTAGTATAGGAGAGTATTTTCAATAATCCGTATAAAAAGTAGCTTTTTTCGATAACAGCTGATATCAAAGAAAGTAGTTGATCCCAAGCTTTAAATTTAGATTCCTCGATCAGCTGATATTCCCCTCGCTCTAAATTTACTTTACCTTGCTCTCACAAGCTCTCCATTTATCACGGAGTGACTAAATAATATATTTTTAATCACTAGGGCCTAGTGACTCTTTCAAGTTTTACGATTGAGGCAAAGCCGAGGTCGGAAAATGAGCGAGGGTTGAAAAGACCCGCAACGCATGCTTTGAAACGGCTGTTTTTGTTGCAGTATGACGAAAATAAATACCCGTACTCTATTTACAGCTTAACATATAGATTTTGTTGATTTGTCAATTCAAAATATTGGCCGACAAACTTTGAATTTATTATTTCTCTTTTTCTGACTGTAGAGTATTGTAGGAAAATGTGGTTGTTCAAGTGTCGT